CCCCCAAACACACGCAGAGGCCTCTCGTCTCGCAGAGCCGCCTTTATTGGAGCGCCGCCCGTCGCGGACCCGCCGCGGGAAGGGGCGCCGCCGCGCGGGGCGGTCACGGCGGGCCGAGGCGGGCGGCCAGCGCCTCCCGCAAGCGCTGCCGGCAGCGCTCGTACTTGCGCAGCACCTGCCGCACGCGCTCCTCCTCCTCGCGCTGCAGCAGCCGCAGGAAGTTCTGCAGCTCGGGCAGGCTGAAGGCCTCCCACTGCGGGCGGCAGCGGGCGCCCGTCACCGGGGCGTCGCAGCGGCCGCCCGCGCGCCCGGCGCCTCCCCGCCGCGCTCACCTGCACCTCVCCGCTCTCGTTCTCCTTGAGCACGAAGCTCAGCGCCTTCTCGCCGGGCCCCGCCAGCAGCCGCAGCCGCAGCGGCCGCTCGTGCTCGCCCAGCTTGCGCACGTGCACTGCAAGGGCGCCGCGCGGCGTCAGCGCCGGCGACAACCCCGACGTCGGCCGCCCCGGCCGCTCCGGCCGCTACCTTGGCCGTCCCTCTCGCGGCGCTCGAAGAGGGCGAACTTGCGGGGGTTGTCGAGCACCATGAACTTGGCGAGCAGGGCGGTGACGACGTGGGCGGCCGGCGTGCGCGACGTGACGTGCAGGTGCTTGGCCGTGCCCTCGGGCAGGTAGAAGGACGCGCGGCGCCGAGGTGCCCGCCGCGGCTCGGCCGTGCACGGGGGCCGCGCGGCCGCCGGCACCGCCACGGGACGCAGCAGCTTCAGCTGCACCTTGATGAAGCCGCTGTAGGAGCCGTCCTTGCTCTGCGGCGCGGGGAGGCGGCGGGTGAGCGGCGGCYGCCCCACACGCTGCCCCACATCCCCCCACGCCGCCCTACCAGGCTCATGAAGAGGTTGCTGTTGATCTGGCTGTTGTACTCCTTGATGCGCTGCTCCAGCTGTGCCGGCTCCAGCTCCGGCGTCTCGGCCTCGCCAGGATCATCCTGCAGGACAGTRCACAGTGGTGACGTCCCGTGCAGCCCCAGGGATGCCACATGTGGAGCTGTGCTCCGGATGCCGTTGCCGGCCGTTGCATCATCCCGGGGCGGGATCGCGGCCCTTTCCCGGCCTCGCGGTTCCAGCTGCCTCGGCGGCTCCTTTACAAAGGGCCCCAGGGGCCGCGGGGTGCCGGGGCAGGTCCAGCCGGCGGCCCCGCGCTGCCCGCCCGGAGCTGTGGGACAGCATCAGCCCTGCCTGGGCCCCGCACGCCGGGAGCCTCCCCGGAGTGGTATGGAGGGAGATGCCAGTGGCCGCGGGGTGCGTGGGACTGCCACAATGTGGGGACACCCGCAATGGTGCCCGTGTGGCTCCGGCGCGGCTGGAAGGACCTGGCTGCCCTCTGTCATCCCCAGCAGCACCGCGGGCTCCCCGGGCTGCAGCACTGAGTGTCACGAGTGTCACCCCTGAGCCCAGCTTCACTCCCGCTCCACGCTGGCGATGGGGCGGCCACGCCGCGCGGCAGAGCCCCCCGGCACCCCACAGTGACCCACGGTCAGCTCCCCACGGTCGTGACACGACCCGAGCGCGCTCCCCGCCCCTGCGCGGGGGGTGACGTCACGCGGGGACCCCCCGCGGCGGGTGACGTCACGCGGGGACCCCCCCCCCCGCGGCGGGTGACGTCAGGCGCTCCCGCCGCCGCGGCGCGGGGCGCACGGACCTGGCGGCGGCGCGGGCGGCGGCCGAGCGAGGTGCGCGCCGTGTAGAAGAGCTCGGGCTCGGAGTCGGAGTCCTCCTGGCTGCAGTAGCCGCTGCTGGCCGTGCTGCCCGCCGAGCCGCCCCAGCGCGGGCCCGGCGCCGCCCCGGCCCCAGCCTCGC